CTAGGCCAACATAGGTGATTTGTAAACATTCTCCAATTCAGCTCACTTTCCAGGTCAGCGATGTTGTCCTAGATTGTTCCCTTCTCCGGCCTTCTCCAAACTCTTCACCCTTTTGTGAATAACCCCGATAGATTCTATCTCTAGGGGCTGCGTGTTTCTCAGAACAGTAAACTCTTTCAAATGAGTATTGGGATAGACACGGCAAGAGTATTCTTCTCAGTCTGCCTTAAGCTAGATTAAACTAGACTTCTTTCAAAGAGAAACCAATCAGTTCCCCTCTCTGTGCTAAGCAGTGCATGAAGGAACCTCCGATTCCGGCTATTATCCTCAGAAGCATGGTTGCTGAATACCCGAACACTGACTGCATCTGATTGGCTGCAATCACTATTTTCTACCTGGATCCTTTGACAAATGTCATTAAAAAACGTTGGTTTTGGCGAACCAGACAGAGCCACGAACACCTCAAATTTCAGCCAGTTCATCAAGAAACAAACTTGTATTGAAATAGTGGAACAGTGAAGACTAATCACTATGCAATTCTACTGAGCAAAAAAGCTAAGTTCACAAAGGCCATGAACTAAGGAGGCTTTAATGCATAATTAAAAACAATATATATATATACAAGTAGGTCTTGAAACTATGGACAACGGCTGACTGAAGGGTTTCATATTAGCTGATCAGTAGTACGGGTTCTTTATTAGATGCAATGTAACAGTAAAACGCCAACACTGTTCAAGGACTTACAGAGCCCCCTTCATCAGGGATGTAATCCCAGTCTGGGTTGCCGGTACAACCTGATAAATATTGCTTTTAATTAACAACATTATCTTGAAGTTAAGCTGCACAGAGACAGATACTGTGTCTATAAAATTGTACATGTTTTGGGGGGTGGTTTAGATATCTTCTTGTTTAAGTCATCTATGATGTTTTGATACCTGCGGGCTTGCTCCTCTTGTTGTTGCTGCTTGTATAATTCCTGTTCCTGTGAACACAGTTAGAATGTATACATATGTTATACATGAAAGAATTCCATACAATCAGAAATGATAGGGCAATACTGATGTCTCTTGAAGACTGACCCCTTCCTTTCCCGGCCACTGTCCATTTTTCCATGCTGTGATAAGTTGACTGACAATTACTCATTTGTGCAACAATGTAACCAAAATAATTTTATATAATTTTCTTTAGACAGATCAAGTTTTTTTTTTGGGTAGTGCTTAATACACACAGGGTTTTAATATTATGTATTTTTTACTATATAAAGCAAAAAAAGACTAAAAAATGTGAAAGCAAAATGTTTACTTTAATTTCTGTTATAAAACATGGCAAATAAAATTGCCAGGAGAGTACAAGCCAGCCAAAATCATGGGTGCAATGCTTAGCCTCATGCAGATGGTTTCTCGAGCCCCAGGTTCTCCCCTAACAGTTTATTTCCTGTTGATCCTGCCCGTAGGTCTGATATTTTTCTACTTCCTGTAACAGAGTAACAATGCTGTTCATTGTGCAGTGAAATTGTGCAGCGTTGTCACCATGTCACCAGGGGAGTCTTAGATGGAAGTGTAGTTTTAACTTTACTTTAAGTATGAGACAAACTCTTTAAGCACTTGCTGACCAGGTGCTACACCCCCTTCCTGTCCCGGCCATTTTTCAGTGTTCAGCGCTGCGGTACTTCAACTGACGTTTATTCCGTCATGCAAAGCTGCACTGAAACAAATTTTATATAATTTGTTGGGGGACACATAGAGCTTTCTTTTGGTGGTATTTAATCACCACTGCGGTTTTAATTTTTTACTATATAACAAAAAAGTACAGGATATTTTTTTTTTTTAAAAGGTTTTCCCTTTATTATTTTAGGAAACATTTATTTTTACCCAATTATTTGGTAAAATATAAAAGATCGGGTCACATCAGGTAAATAGACACCAAACATGTCAAGCCTTAAAATTGCGCACGCCCGCGAAATTGCAAAAAAACTATCATAGCCAAAATTGGCCATAGGTGTTGCTTTAAAAGAGCTTAGCGCTCATCAGTTTAGTGTTATCAGTGATTGATGGAACTAAAATTATTGCTCTCACTGCGACGTTCGCGGCGATATGTAACATGTGCAGCGTAATGGGCGCAATCGTGGTTTTTGCATCTATGTGGGGGTGGGGAACTTTAAAAAACTTTTGTGGGTTTTTGTTTTTTTTGTGTGTGTGTAAATTTTATTTATTTTGTGAGCAATTTTTTTAAATTTTTTTTTACACTTTATTGTTACACAACTTTATTGTTATCAGATAGGGTGCTAAGAAGTCCCCTATGTAATAACTAATTACAGTGACAGGTCCCCTTTATGGAGACATCAGGGGTCTCGAAGACCCCTAATGTCACCTCAGGACCCCCCGGAGAAGCTGATGAAGCACACCGGAGAGTGACAGAGGAATGAAGAAGTGATGTAATATACATCACTTCCTTCATTCAGAGACCAGGAGGAGAGCGGAGGGAGATCTGTACTGAACTCCCTCCATTCTCAGTGCACAGAGCCACATCGCCCAGGATAGATGACACCCGGGAACGCGGGCATCATACAATTTGCATCATACAAGCGATCGGGCGTCTTTACAGACGCCGGACCGCTTGTATGTAAACGGCCATCGCTGGCCGTTTAAAATCCTGGCGGTTTTCCGCTCGTGCGCGCCCCCTAACGCGCACAGGCAG